AACTATATACGTTTCTGTTATAAGTGTAAAAGAAATTTTACGTTTTCAATTCCATTGCAGTCATTAAAATGTGGCTATTGTGGCTATATTCTTCATGGGTCTTGTGGAAATGCTCTCGCACATCACTGTTTCAGCGATTTTAGTGAGCACTTACATGCCATCAATGTAGATGAAAACTCTGTTGTTACAATGTGTAAGTGCAAAACGTTCTTATTGTATTTTATAAATATATTAATTAAATACATAAAAATTACTGTAACATTGATTAATTTATTATTATTTCACAGTGCAGAGATATGACAGTGATGCAGAAGAGATGGAAGATGCTGCTAATAATATGTCAGAAGCAATTTTTGGTACAAACAACCCAAAGCAAACAGTAGATGAACTGCTCATCGATCTTGTTCATGAGCGTAAGGTTTTGTGGGATCATAGATTATCTACCAAAGAAAGAACAAATTTAAAACGAAATGCTTTGTGGAACGAGATTGTCAATAGTCTTGGAGGTAAGATCATTTCATTGTATTATTAATATATATTATTTGCAAATTTACGCACGCGTTTGCATTTGTACTAAAAATTTCTGTTTAAAATTATAGGAGCAATAACTGATGTGCAATCGGGAAAGCAAAAATGGAAGCATTTGCGCGATGCATATATCAAAGCCCGCAAGCGTACGCAGGGATATGTGCAAAGTGGATCCGGAGCAGGACATCCGCTGAAGAGCACTTTTGCTCATTACGAGAAAATGAGATTTCTCGATGACATTTTGAACACAGTATCGTAAGTGTTAATGTTGTTCTTAAAATTGATGATTTTTGTGCATTGATGTATTTATATAATTACATAAAAATTTCAATTGCAGGACCGTCAACTCTCTGCCAGAGTTTGTGCAAAATTCGTCACACAGCAGCAACAGTGGTGTTCATGAAGATGTGTCGTTGGATGTCTCCATGAGCTATCCAGAAAATGACGATGACAGAACAGACATTACCACAGATACAGAACGTCCGCAGTCTGCGACTTCTAATGTATCGACATCGGCCAACAAAAACAAAAGTAAATATACGCGGTTTTTGTATATATGACAATTTGTACAATTTTTATAATTTCGTGTGTTTGACTTATATTCATATGTAATAATAATTTACATTACAGAAGCAAAGAAAGCACAGCTGCAAGATGCATTTTTAGAAATGCTAAAAACAGCACCGCAGCAACAAAGAGATGTGGTGGACAGCTTCGTGGAGCAGTTGGCTGATATTTTACGCCGTCTGCCATATCCCAAGCCTCGAAGTCTGCAAAGAAGGCTTATGGATTTGGCGATTGAAGAAGAGGAAATGATGGAGGCACAACAAGGATTGAATTAGTTTATTTTTACTCACAATTTTAATTACTATTTTTTAACTTTTTCTAATTAATATAAATAAATTGTATGCAGAAAAATATTGAATTCACTTTATTTTAATTACAAATTTCAGTACACCTTAAAAATCGTTAGACAAAGCTTTATCCCATTGCCAAGGCAATGGAGAAATGTGTTCAAAGTAATAAGCAAAATTATCTCGAATTTTTACAGCTGCCAAGTTTCGTGATGCAATATTACCACTCACAGTTATAAGTCCACTACTGGTATTAATCACGTCTTGATCTTCTTCTTGAATCCTACAATATCTTCTTTCATGTGTT